ATAGCATTCCTCCTGGAGTTCGGTTACATCACAGAGCGGTCAGTGTATATTCTACATTAGTGCATTGAGTTTGAGCTCATGCTAATTTTTGCATAATATAACTGTTAGGAGATTGGATTTTATTTCATTTGATTTTCATATATAATGTGCTACCAGGTAGTTATAGCTGCTGAGACTGGTGGGGCTTTAGGTGGCATGGTTAGACAACTTTCCATTGATCAATTTGAAAATGAAGGCAGGAGGGTAAGCTACGGGACTCCTGAGAGTGCAACTGCATCGAGGAAATTGTTGGACAGACAGATGTCTATCAACAGTGTGCCCAAAAAGGTATAGAGATATTGTTTCATGAAATTTTAATTTGATAAATTTGTAGATAGCTCTATAATGCTCTGCTAGTTGTTTTCATCTGAAATAAATGTGTTGGGAAATGGTAACCGGAAATATCTTAAGTGATTGTTATAACATACTACGGGCTCTGTGCTAGGTTTTACTTTTGATGAATTATACAAACTTCTGTTTGACTTTATGGAAACTGGAACATCCTTGTGAGAGTTGGAAACACCTGACTACTAGGTGGGTTTGGCTTCACTTATTTTGCGGCTTCTTGTTCCAATCAAAACGGTGCCTTCTCCTTATTTAGAAGAAGTAAACAATGTTGGAAATCTGGTTTGATATCATTATCATTTGCTTGAACTAAAAGAATTTTATAAAACATATTTTTCTCACTTTGCATTGCAAATAAAGATCCAGTCAAAGTTAATTCATCACTATAGTTTGTATCCACTTATGACTTAACATACAAGGATTATTATTATTTTTTGTAGTTCCTTGGGTTTGTTTGCACATGTTGATTTCTTTTCAATTCCTGCAATGTTCCATTGGGGTTGCCTATGGGCTTTTGTTCTGGTGGCAGTGTGTTGTGTTTATGGGACTTGTAGAATGCCCTTGCTTTCAGTAGAAGAATGCCCAATTTTAATAATGCAATATATGTACCATTTTATTGGTCTCAGGTCATTGCACATCTTCTAAAGCCTCGTGGCTGGAAGCCCCCAGTTCGTCGGCAGTTCTTCTTAGATTGCAATGAGATAGCAGATTTATGTGACAGTGCTGAAAGAATATTTTCTAGCGAGCCAAGTGTTTTGCAACTTAGAGCTCCGATCAAGATATTTGGTGATTTGCATGGACAATTTGGTGATCTTATGCGTCTATTTGACGAATTTGGCGCCCCTTCAACTGCCGGTGACATTGCGTAAGTGCTTTTATTTGTTACTTCTTTCTTTCCCATTCAAGAATAGTTTGTCATTTTTCTGTGGATTTTATCAAGGAGAATTGTCATTTTTAACAGACTCATGTATTATGTATGTACCCAAACGGATAAGAACCATGGAGAGCCTGTGTCCAAATTTTTACTGTTTTGAATTACTCCACGGTAAACTCTTTAAGATATTGGATAAGTTAGTAAACAAGGAAAGGAAGCTGAAAGATTAGCTGATTCAGTTCTATGAGGTACCATGATCTTCTAAAACGACACTTCTAGACTGATGGAATGATTTTATGTGAACTCATCTACGGGACTTTTATGTAGTGAATTGGACTACCTATTCTGTTGGGAGTACTGCTGTGTTGTAGTCAGCAATGGTAGCGAGGATGCTTGTTCAATCATGATATAATACAAATCAAAGGGATTAAAAGAGGGAAGAAAGAGAGGGTACTTGTACAGTTTGTGTGAGCTCCAGATGAGCATTTGGACATGATGTTGTCGTACAAGTTGATATTGTTGATTCCATCATGTTTGTAGAAAAACAGATAAGCTTGAAGTAGCTTATGTGAACAGCATGTTGGTTGTATCCCATCAGGGTCAAACCACAAATTTGTCTGTGTTGGAAGTTGGAATGTCTGGAGTGTAGGAGCTAGTTGACCTAGCATCTCTGGATGTACATATCCTCTGTATTTGCAGCAGGATATTGATGTATAAGTAGGAATATTTCTTGAACAACTAATGCTAATCCTATTCGTTTTGTGAGCATGTGATATCTTATGTTATTTATATATTTCGTGTTTGTCAGATACATCGATTATCTCTTTTTAGGAGATTATGTTGATCGTGGTCAGCACAGCCTGGAGACAATTAGTCTGTTGCTTGCTTTGAAGGTATGATGGCGTTTAGTGGCCCCTTGGCTTCCTTTTCTTGTTCCTTCTGTTATTTTGTCTGACAAGATCCTTTTGTAGGTTGAATATCCAAACAACGTGCATTTAATTCGTGGGAACCATGAAGCTGCAGATATCAATGCCCTTTTTGGCTTCAGGATTGAGTGCATTGAACGAATGGTATTGTGCCGAAGACATTACCTCCCTCCTCTTTATCCATTGGTTATTAGCTTTTAATTAAATGGATTACTGAACCAGGGTGAGAGAGACGGAATATGGGTTTGGCATCGGATCAATCGTTTATTCAATTGGCTTCCTTTGGCTGCACTGATCGAGAAGAAAATCATTTGTATGCATGGAGGTATAGGTCGCTCAATAAATCACGTCGAACAGATCGAAAACATTCAGCGTCCTATTACCATGGAAGCGGGCTCGATAGTGCTCATGGATTTATTATGGTTTGTGCTTGTATCTTAGTTGTTCTGTTTCCTTGTTTATGATGTTGGATTTTATTATCTTGTCTTCTGATCAGTTGACTAATGGGTTCAATTCTCTGCATTAGGTCTGACCCAACTGAAAATGACAGCGTGGAGGGATTGAGACCGAATGCCAGAGGCCCAGGGTTGGTTACCTTTGGGGTGAGTACTATGATGCATTGCAGACAAATAGGGTGTGTGCTTGTTTTAGTTTTGCTTAAAGATAAGTCGCTGTAGAAGTGAAATGAAGATGCTTAAAGATGTCTTTAAGAATAGATTATATTTCAAAGTGCTGAAGTGAACTCGCCCTTAATTTACTTTACATTACAATCTTATTTGGCTTAGCCTCTTGTCTTTTCCAGAAAAGAGCCTGTTTTTATCGCTTTGCCATATGGTAGATATTAGTCACCATACATTTTCTTAGTTCTCTTTCCAGGATTAAACAATAATGCACAAGTTTGTTGATAAGCGAACCTTTTTCCAACATTTTGAAACTAGATGCATCGCCCAGTCTTCCGCTATTTCTTTATCTGTACCCTGCTTTCTCCGTATATGTCCCTGCAGATTGAAATTGTTCGGTGAAATTTGTAGATGTTATTCTGACTACTGAGTGGTAACTGCAGCCTGATCGAGTCATGGAGTTCTGCAGTAACAATGATCTTCAGTTGATTGTACGTGCGCATGAGTGCGTTATGGACGGCTTTGAACGTTTTGCACAAGGGCATCTCATCACACTTTTCTCTGCCACAAATTATTGTGGTGTGTTTCTTGAACTTGTTCAATATTTCAATCTCCATGGATGACTCAACACGACATGTTCACGAGATATCGAATTTTCATTTTGATGCAGGCACTGCAAATAATGCCGGGGCAATCCTTGTTTTGGGAAGAGATCTCGTGGTGGTTCCAAAACTCATCCATCCTTTACCGCCAGCCATATCTTCGCCAGACGCTTCGCCTGAACGTCAAATTGAAGATACGTGGATGCAGGTGACAATGCATCTTCTTACTGATCTTTCTAGTTTTAGCTCTCCTTCTAAGATATTCTAGACGATGCTTATCATGTTCCCAAATTATTCTTGGAAGCAGGAGTTGAATGCTAACCGCCCCCCTACACCAACTAGGGGTCGTCCTCAAGCAGCGAATGACAGGGGCTCTCTCGCTTGGATATAAGTTAGATGCTTACAGTACTGTATTGGATATAAACACCACCTGCCAAGTGTTCCAGTTGCTTGTGCCACCACCATGGGGTTTATGGTTGGCCTCTGTATAGAGCTTGACTCGAAGACATCTCGAACTTGTTGGCCATCGTTGCTGAAAGAAGTCTGTGAAGGCCTTGTGTGAAGTTTTCAGTTTCACTGGTCAAACTGTGCAAGGCCATGAGATGACTAAGATGATTAGCAATGGTCGATGCGAGTTCCAAGGGAGAGGAACAGAGCTGTGGGTGGCGCTGGCAGTTGTTTGCTTGATATGTTGTAGAAGATGCAAGTTCAAGGGGTAGCCCCTCGCCATTTGTATATCGAGCCAGAGACAGCAGGTAGAATGTCTGCAAGAGTTGGTTTTTTCCTTTTCCCAATTTGAGAGTTAGTAGTGGTGTTGGGAATTCTTCTCAATAGCTGTCATATAATTTTTCTCGAAGTTCCCGAGCTGTCTTGTATTAGGCCTAGATTTTTCTTGCCAATTATTTTTTCCTTCTAAAGGAGGGCAATGATAAAGGTCCTTCATATCATATGTGATGGCGAGATATATAGTTAACCCTTTTCAACACCTTTGATGGTTTCCCCTTTGTATCATAGAGGTGATTTGTGTAAGTTTCTATGCTTGTCTGGTAAATTTTGGTGACTGTATTGTAGGATTATGCGTGGTGAAGCTTATAGCATGGAATTGCAGGTGGCTATGATCAATTTTGGGCATCTCCCGTGTATTTTGTTGCATTGCATCTCTTCTAATCTCTTAACTGAAGTATTGTTTGCGTATTGCATTGGAAGCTATTAGCGACTTAGTTATACTGCATTATATCGACCAGGTGATATGATAGCTTCTAATCGCTGAAAGACCTGCATCTACCATACAGCCTCTGTGCCTAAGCTTAGTGATTATCTATACAAGAACCTGTAGTTGGCTGTTTGAATATGCGGCCATCTATGGTTTCGTTGTTTCGTTGTGTTTGGCTCAAAGTTGACATTGTCTTACGTGATCCCCAAGACTAGCCCTAGCCTTGAGATCTACAGCATTAGGCACTGAGGAGTCTTTAGTATCATCTAGCTTTCTACAGTCTCGAGCACAAGATCTCGAATGACAGCCAATGTCGCCTCGAGCCCCAATCAAACAACTACCCTTCGAAGGTACCCTAGAGTCTGATCCAGGCGAAGCTAATGTTCTGACTTCAAATCATAACTTTGCAGTAACGCACCAGAAAAAAACAAAAAGCGCAAAGACTTCCATTAGTTCTCTCATTGAGGGTTCAAGGTATACATGTCACTCTTTGGGTCAGTTTTCACAGCCTACTTACATAGCTCAAGAGGTTCTGATATTGAGGTCTGGCTATAAACTTCACAAACAACCTTTTCATACGTCTGACAATTAGTGCATTACATTACTACACCTTGGTATCCTTTTGAATTGACCTCTGTTGAGCATAGCGGAAGGGCAAGGAAAAGAAAAGATGAAAGTGCCTGCTCAAATCGTTAAGGAATGGATGGCCTTCCTATAGCTTAAGTGACACACAAGTACATATTTCTTCACCGTCCGAGCAGCAGAGGACAGCCATCGTCAATTCCTCACTCGGCAGGTTCAGCACGCCTCAGCCTTTCTTCACCGGTCTCTGAACATACGATTTGTTGGGATCCTCTGTCTTCAGCTTTGGTGGGCGAATCTCTCCCTTCTTACCCTGCACAAACACAGCAATACCCTCTTTATCCTTTCCCATTACCCACACATGGACAAGAGAGATCAACAAAGATATTTGTACTCACCTTTTTCCCCGTCTTCATGAAATCTCTCCAGCTCGACACCTTTTCGTCAACAGTGGATATAAAATATGAACATAGAGTCTACGAAGATGGTAAGCATTGCAAGGTAAATAAAGGGAAACAAGACAAACCCTTTTTTCTCTAGTTCCTTCCCATTGCTCCTCATGCTCTCGTTTCCTCTTCCACATCTCTCTTTGCTCTTCCTCGTCTTTCTTCACTCTCCCTTCTTCTTCTGATATCTGAATGACAACAAAAGATGCAAAGGGATCATCCGATGAGGAATTTTTTTTAACAATGTAATATTACTAACTGGTTGGTGAAAAACAGTTCAGCGCACCCTCATCTGCATTTTTCGCCGCCTCCACTCCTGGTCCGTCAATATTTCCCGAACTTTCAGTTTTAGCTGCTGCTGGAACTCATCTGACCTCTCAAATTCTTGTTCGTATTTCCCCTGCACAAATAACAGAATTATATAGTTGACAGTACCAAGGAAAGCAGAGTCTAAAGAAACCAAATAACAGCGTGTGTCGCAGTCTGATGAAGAACACTAGATCCTAGAACGGTTTAATAAGAAACTGGTCTATTAGAAAGGAATGCAAACCTAAGAAAGACTACACACCTCATCGACTAACGACTTTGCTTTGCTGGCAGCATCTTTCTTCATCTGCTTTCTCCTCTTCGCTCGAAGTTCGTCTGCAGTACACACCAAGCTCCCGATTAAATATTAATGATGAAAATGAACCACAAAACATGCAACCCGCCCGGGCAAAGCTTATCCAAAAAATCAGACAGTAATACTGACCTTTGGCTGCTTGTACCTGGGTGAGAACATAGTCTCTTTCCTGCTGATCAAGTAATAGCTCTTGGGCTTTGGCCAATGCTGTTTGCAAGCCAAAAATCCAATTCAGCAGCAATTAGTACTCTAGATGTCAAATGAACGGAAGCAAGAAGTTACGATACCAGAATAGTTCTAAGATCAACTACTATTGTGCTTTATTTTATAGCAGTTTATTAGATTAGAGAGCCAATTATATTGTCTGCTATTTTCTCCACAGAATACCAGGTCAAGTAGGAAAGGGTCGGCATTCGTCCTTTACTGGCTGCATTACTTATCCCTTACGGTGGACAAGCATAGAAAAAGATTTTGAAACAGAAAACTAGATACGTACTGCAAAAATGAGTGATGCAGTTCGTCTTTGAGTCCTCAACCAAGAGACTCACATGTCAACTTTTTAATTTGTTTCCAAATGCTGACTTCATGTATAAAAATAACAATATATTGGAAAAGTTTCTGATTTCCTGAGTCCGTATCTACAAGGTGAAACCTTGGTATAAGCCAGTGTCACGGAGGCATTGGCTTAACTGGAACAGGGTTTAGAGAAATTAGTACCTCATAGGGAGTGTCCAAACATTCAGGAAGAAAATAATGACTGCAAGTACCAATCAAAGCTTATAAGCTCTCTACAGACAATCGATCAACTAATACTGGGGATCAAGACCCTCAACTATTTTTCTATGTTGAATTTAAAGAGCAGACGTGAAAACCTTAGCGATACCAAGACTAGGAGGATAAAAAAAAAACTAACCAAGTTACTTAATTATCTTTAGGTCATCCTGATATCAATACAAAAAGGAAGTGTAGCAGACATACCACCAAAAGCTTCTTGGGCCTTCGGATGCTTGCATTTGTCAGGATGAACCAGTAAAGATAGCTGCACGGTTCACAACATGCAACAAGTTAAATCATAGCAAATAAATGAAGCCAAAGATGACCACCTTTCCGTGGGTGGAAAGAACGTTACCTTACGATACTGCTTTTTCACGTCATCCGGAGATGAATCAAACGATAAGTTTAGATGCTCAAATGGATTTAACTTGAAGCAAGAAAGGATCCTGCAGAGTCAAAATTTCCCAAACACAACAAATTAGCGAGAAGGCAATAGGCAAGCCAGTAGACTAAAAATCATTAGTTCTAGAAAACTATGGAAGTGATCGATCTCCTTAGGTTATCAAATTCAGTAACTTGGTTCATAGAGTAGATTGTCTTCTCGTCTTTGGGCAAAGGAACACACCTCAATTTGCACAAAGAAAGAACCCAAATTTATAATCAATGAAACTGACGAAATATGACCACGAAAAAGCATCAGCCATCAGGGACCGCCTGCAGAACTCGTCTCTATGGCTGAGAAATCCTCTACTCAAAATCCCCAAACTTCATCACAGATACGGCCCGAACTAGAAACAAATATGAATACGGCATACAACTGCCAATCCGAATTGAAACTTTTGACGAGCTATTGACCATATCGACATGAACGCAGCTCAGAAACCCTAGCCGCGTGATCAATTTCAACTGAATTGGAAATGAATAGTTCGGCTAGAAATAGGGAATATCAGGGGACAAAGAAGAGGAGGAGGAGGAAAGAGCTGAGGGGAGACCTGAGGACTTCGTTATCCCTTTCGACTTCGCTAACTTCGGCGAAGAAGCTCTTCAGAAGATGCTCGTCGACGGCGGCCGTCGAGGCGGTGGTGCGAGAGGCTTCTCCCATCGAGCTATTTGATTTTGGCTGAGGTATTGGTGCGCTGCGTTTCCTTATTTGATGATCTGATGGAGAAAAGAGGGGAAATAACCCGCGAACATCGATTTTTTTCCAGCTGGGCTGGGCTTGGTACCGTATATAATTCCTCCTCGGCCCAGTTAGCTGCATTGATTCGGCAACTTGGGCCGAATGTGTTGTCTACAGCCCACAAAGACTCGAGTGGAAAAACTGGTCTTAGTGACAGCAGGACAAATTCTGTGATATTGATTTGATGCAAGCAAATAGAATTCCATTGTAAAGTGTAACTAATTCGAGTAATGTGCATAAATAAACAGATAATGACTAGGGGTATAATGCGGTCCGGTCTTGGTCCACATGAAATTTTACAATTATTGAATAAATGATGGATTGAACTGATATTTGGATCGGATCGAACAAAACCAAATGAACCAACACAATGATGATCCAATCTTTGGTCCTAGAATGTCTTTCACTACTGGAACGCGGTTCTCATGAGTAACCGTTGCACACACCTAAACTGGCCAATCCTATAGCAAACAAAACCCTTATAATTTATCACAATTTTATTTGAAGCATCGTCGAGTATTTTTTTAATAACACGTTAACTTCGTACCATTAGCTATATAGTTTTACAAATAAATTATAATATTTTTTATAATTGATTAGTGACTTTCCGTTCATAAAAAAAAATCATATTTTTCTGTGTCCACCATGTTATAAGTGTCCCTTCTTCTCAAACAATAATTTTCTATTATTAATTCATATACTCACTTCTACAATAAAAATTATCATCCTAAACCATTTAGTAAATGCGATGCAAAGAAAAAATGTAGTCCAATATCATACATATTTTTTCCGCTTATTATCACTAACATTATTGATCAAATCATTTATAAATGAAGAATTTGATGACAAGGAATTAAAAGAACACATGAGACAAAGGATTTCCTAATCCTAAAAGTATTATATGGAGGTTCTCCTCCAGAACCCCATAAGCTCCAATTTTGCAGCCTCCTGCGCAATACACGGAGGGATCCATAGGTAATTTTTCAGCACTGATTTTTCTGTACGGCAGGTGGTTTTAATCACATAAATGGGCCAGGCCCAATGGCCAATGTCAGTCTATTTATAATTTGAATATTTTTTTCGTTTCTTATCTTCTAATTTATATACCATCCTTAGTAAATTATGATATAGGTTAATTACGTATAAAATAAACATGTGTATTTTATATTATTAGTAAATTAATGATATGTTTAATAGTACGTTAATAGTAATAAAATAAAATAAAATAATTATTTTATAAATATATATATAAATAATATTCAAGTTTATATTAATTCATTAATACATATATTAAACGTGTTATACAAGTTTTGTACCAGTTTAGTATGAGATCCATCAAATGAATGGAAAAAAGTAAAACGATTTTACAATAATACGGATACTAAAATGTTAAACGGATACAATACATACATTCATATATACGTGTATTAAACAGAGTATTAATTACTAACTAATGATTCATTTCGACCATGAAAAATTTAATGAAAGTACAAATACTGTTATTAGCATAATTATATGGATTTGACAATTTAATATCGGTCTATTTCAGTAAAATAGATAGTTGTTTTTGTACCATAAGAAGTTGTAGTGGATTCTAATCAATCTATATCTGAAGTGCAAAAAAATATATTCCGATGGTATAAATATCGATGAAATATGTTTCCATTTATGAAATATCGATGAATTATTAGTTGATTATAATTTCTCTAGCTATTTCACGCTATTTGAACTTACAAAATTATTACTCTCCAATTTACATATTTCAGAAATCGATGCACATAAGTCAGAGTTGAAGAGAATTAATCAACCGTTGACTAGATTAGCAAGAAGGAAACATGTTATTTATATATGGCAGAAGCATATATATGGAAAAATTGTGAATATTCCTACCGGTAATCTATTTGTTTCATGTTTGTTTTCGATTCATAAGATATCAAATTATGTGTTAGTCGCTAGAATTGCTTATTTTACTAATTCCTATATGACTAGAAAATGAGATGAATAACTTACAATATAAGAGAAATAGATTGTTGAGGTTCCTCAAACTTGCCGAAATTTGTCATAATCGTCTTTGACTGATGCGTTCCGGTGACTTTTCAGGTTTATTGATATTTTGGTTATTTCAATTTCCTTCATTTATTATAATGCTAGAGTCTATCACCAAATTTATTTCTTATGCTGGAGTTTTAGTTTTATTGCAGTCGTTGAAGTGTTTGATATTGGAAAACCAACATACAAATGTGCATATTGTGGAGCGATGATGTGGAAGGGCGAAACTACCAAACCCACAAGAAATTTCCATCGACCAAAGTTTTCACTGTGTTGCAGACAAGTTAAAGTGAACCTTCATCCTCGAAGACAGCCTCCAAAGGTATTGAATATGCTATGTAAGCAAGCACTTCAATGAGACATCACTTTTTTGAACATATCCGAGGATATAATGGGGTCTTTGCTTTGACGTCTATTGGAGGTAAACTGGATCGATCTATCAATGATGGATGCATAATATATTTTTATTTTATTGGAGGTCAAGTATATCATCGAATCGGTAGCCTGATATCTACTGAAAGGAACAAACCAAAATTTGTTCAACTATACATCTATGACACTAGCAATGAACTCCAAAATAGGTTAGATTTTTTCTCCACATATCCATATTCAAATCCTTTGCGCGATTCAATTATCACAAGAGATGTTAGATTCAAGTAATAACTTAGTGAAGATATTTCGATTTGAAAGGGATAGATTGAATGACAACACTGTTCAACAAGTCAAAATAAAGTTGCTTGCGAAAAGAGAAAAAGATGGTAGAGAATATGATTTGCCATAAGCAAATGTGATTGTTGCTTTAATTGTTGATGATACTAGGGAGCAAACATTTTCTCCTTATATTTACTGGGCAGCAAACATTTTCTTTTAATATTGTTGTTCAATATCAAAGTCATGAACTGGAACAAATAAGTATATATCACCCAAGTTTAATGGTTTTTCAATACCTCATATTATCCCCGCATGACGAAGATGGTTGGCACCCAAATATCAAGGTAATGTGATAATTATCAATGTAAAATTGAGGTATAATCACTATTATTTACAAGGCTGCATTATTACCAACACGATTTAGAGTTTCTTCACAACATGAACACTCTAATTATTATGAAATTACCATGCCATGTCAAATACTCATACGTGGATTTTGCAATGCATTTAATTGTATAACTTAAAATAGTGCAACTTTCCTTTTATTTCATATTCACGTGCATTCAGTTGCATACTTGGTTGTATAATCAACATGTATAGATCTTCACTTTAATACCAAATATTATACACTTATAATTCAAGAAAATAACAAATATTTTCTTTTTTTGAATGCCAAAAATTGAATATCATTATCCTAATGGAGGAGGGTTGCCCCTCCCCATGATCTTTCTGTTCATTGTAATTTGAATAGCCTTATATGTTGGCCGGCCCCCCAACTTAAGCTCCATAATGGCATTGATAATGATGGAGGTACTAGATCCGATGCAAGAAATGAGGATGCTCTTTAGAAGAAGTGGAAGTCACCTGATATTGGACCAAAACATGTCACTAATGGAGAAGAAGACTTCGCTACTGACAATACACTTTGGGGGGTGTGTGCCTTTTTAGTATTATTCTTATGATGTCGTGACTAATAAATATTATGCACCGAATGATTGTAGAAGTGATCATTAATTCATCTAAATATCTTTCACTTAATCAATTAATTTGTGAAAGGTGGAAAAGACACTTGATGGCGTAGTAATCAAAATCTTCTAGAGTACTATTGTACTCATACCCAATTATTTGGCTTGGTCCAGATTTTTATTATTTGATTTGGTTTTATAACCATACTCATATAAAATTATATTATTCTACCTGAACTTAATATATTTGAGGAGTCCCTTTCTTTGTTACCTGCTGTTGTTGCGAGTTTTGACTTTGATCGGTGGTTTCTTTTTGGATTGTAAACATTGATATCTTTGATTTGGTAATGCCATTGTCTATTGCTAAAAAAAAAGATATATTTGAGGAGTCAACAACTTAAATTATTTTTTTGGCGTGAAAGTCCAAAATAAATGGCCACAAAATAAATTTGGCACCTACAAATTTATTGATTACATTTGATACCCAAAATTTTGGGTTTTATAAATTCGATTAATTTGGTATGCCTAAATTAAACCTATTAAAAATGGGTAAACCGATCATTCTTCAAAATATTGGTTAGCTATGATCATCAGATTTATATGGATTTGAGTAAAATTACTAACAGGGAGAATCACCATTCGTTCTGTTAACCGAGTCCATGTAATTTACAAGATGGGCTATTATAGTTTACACAGATGTAACTCTTATGTTGGCATTTAGCTCATTAAACGGTGCACAATGCAAATTTAATATAACAATTTAATAATGTAAGATGGTATTACCACGTGTTGGACTTGGACATCGACAACTTATTCGACCTTTACAAACAGAATATAATAAAACGTGCAGAAATTTCTGACAGTGAGGAGTGTAGAAGGGTTTTTTCACAAAACTTTTAGAAGTCGGATCCATGGCATAGGGTTTTTCTTTCATTCTTCGTAAAACAATTATACTCGATAATTCGGTTAGAATGTCGGAAAACACTATGATGTCATATATTGAATAATTGAAGTATTTCAATAATTTGAATTCTTTTATGTTACCAAGAAATTAGAATGTTAAATATTTTGAAACCTTTATTTTTAACATACTACCAAAGAAACAAAAATCTCACATACAAATTGCTACAGTTATTTACGCGAGTGGTGTTGTGAATTCGGCCAACCGGCCGGGCCTATGACTAGTTACGTGGTATACTCGTTCTTGATTAAATAAGACTAATTTACAGTGAACTCGAAATAGCTCACGGCTGACAATTTTATTATGAGACTACATTGTGACAGCTTGCTTACGACAGGACCATAGCTAAACCTTATATAGAGATAAACATAGGATTAAAACCCTAATGACAACCAAGTTTTCTTCTTTTAAATGGACAAGGAAACAAGGGACTTGCAGGACAAGAAATTAATTACTTGGACTAAGTAATTATTATCTACAACACTCCCGCTCAAGCGAAGACATGAATGACAAGAATGTTGAGTTTGAAACTGAACAACACTCAGACAACCTCTTGCTGGCAATGACGATCCAACAGGCTGTGACTTTGTTCACTCGCGGGAGAGGTAGACAAATGATGAAACTACTACATGCTTGACCCAGTTCTTTTGACAGTGAAGTCAACATGGTTGAGAAAGTCTTTTGTTCCTATCCTATTCAAGCGGAAGCTTATGCAATTCTTAATGTTGTCTTGTGTGCATCTCAGGATGTTTGCCAGACGTGTATCAGGTCTGATTGTCAGATTCTGATCCTCGCCTTAAGGCTTACTCCTAATCGATGGCCTTGGCAATGTCGACCAATCTTGGCACGTATCATTTCTCTCCTCCAATTGGCTCCTTGGATCAAGGTGATGTTTATCCTCAGGCGTCTCAATGGTCTTGCTGATTGGGTGGCGAGGAATGAGTGTTTGGGATCTCTTCATGCGGATTGGTTGACTGTTGCTGATCTTGTTTCTCTTTTGCTGTAAGAATGTACTTGGTTTCCGTTGATGGGTTAAGGAATAAAAGCAGTTCTATTCGTAAAAAAAAAAAAAAAAAAACTCAACATGGTGAAATTCCTTGACGTCTTGGATGAGATTGATCCGACTCCATGCTTGACCTAGTTCAACAATAGCGAACTCCACATGGCATAATTACCTTGACATCTTGAATGGGTCTGGAGACTGATTACTGCGCTGCTGACTTTGGAGAGTTCTAACCGCACTGCTGACTGTGCTTCTCCAAGCAACATGATTGATAGATACACACGGTCGACTTGATGACTGAACAAGTCGACTTATGTACGTTGATTCCCTATTATCCCCCTCAAGGTAAAGCATGAACGACGTGAATGCCTAGTTTGAAAATTAGAATGGTGAAGAATGAAATTGACTAGTTCAGAATGTCGAGTGGACAACCTCTTCTTGTGTTGTGACTACCTCGCTCCATGACTTGACAATTTTTATTGACAAAAGCTATTCTATCTCCCCCAACACTAGCTATTGAAGAGAGGACCACTACCAGTCACAATTGTCTTCAACACCATGACTTTGATGTTGGTGAAGACCTGTTTTCTACGTGACCTTGATACGGATGACCCGATCACGATGAGGACTAGACTTCTTGACCAAATACCATATTAGCTACGCCTATATCTATATAACGAGTGGGATGCAACTTACTCATGGCTGGTGACAATCGTATTAGCTTCAAGATGGAAGCCGAGTTACGGAAATCATGCTGGAAACATAATCTGGATAGAATAGAATCAGGGCAGGTGTAACAAAGCAAGCACTCTCCACTACTAACACAATGTATAACAATATGATTTTCAACCCTACAAAATTCCTTTGACTGGACGAGCTCTTACCAACCATTCTCCCAACCTTCCTATTTCCGAGATGGGAAGTAAAGAGTTCCTTAAGCAATGATATAGTTGCTTTGATACCATGAAGAATTTGATGACGCGGAATTAAAAGAACACACAACACAAAGGATTTTACGTGGTATTCTCGTTCTTGATTGGATGAGACTAATCCAAAGAGCTCACTGCTGAAGATTTTATTATAGGACTACATTGTGACGACTTGCTTACGACAGGACCGTAGCTAAACCTTATATAGAGATAGACGTAGAGTTAAAACCTTAATGACAACCAAGGTTCCTTCTTTTAGACTTTTACATGGACAAAGAAACAAGTGATTTGGAGGACAAAGAATTAATTACTTGGACTAAGTAATTAACATCCGCAACAATAAACAACTTAGCGATCAACTTACATAATGAGGAGTCAAGTTCGAACCCAAATTTATCAAATCCTTTTGGATGAGTCAGCTTGTTCCCTGTAGTGGGGCTTAACACCGTATTAACCTTGAATTGTAGGTAGGGTTGTGCAACGGTTCGGTCCGGTTCAAACTGAACCAAACTCATTAGAATCGCGGTCCATTAGTGAAAGACATCTTAGGACCAAGGACCGGACCATCGTTGCGTTCTGTCTATTTGGTTTGGTTAAGTCCAGTCCAAATACCAAGGACCGGAGCGCATTATACTCTGTCCGGTGCAGTCCTGGACCGGACCATTGCACACCGCTAGTTGTAGGACTGCAATTCTAACGTGAACTATTTTAAACGTTTAAGTTATTTAATTATATATTTTTCATGAAGTGAGTATTACTTTTGAACCAAAAATCAGTGAGTAGTGACCAACCCTAGGGCCTAACCTAACCCACACCAACAAAGGACATCCCAAATCAAAGCAGAATCATGATGTCCCCCATACCCAGTGGCTAGACAAGACAATACAACCCAATCTCTAGCACCCCATTGGTGGAGAGAATTTTTCACAGAAAAAGGCAAACCCCTCTCAAAAGCAAAAATAAAAAGGACAAAGATCTAAAGCAAAGCCACCTTTACATATTCCCACATTCATAATAATTCCATATTTATATATTATGAACAGAGCAAGTATGAGATTAAACACTAAACACACCCAAAAGAGTAATTAACACTAACGAACAGAGACAAAGATTTTTCTTCTTCAGTTGGTGTTAGTAAACAACAGCACTAGTGCTTGCTGATAAAAATTTTATCATTAGAATAGCAAAACCTGACAGACTCAATGAGAAAAAAAAAAAAAAAAAACAGTGGTGTACTGGTGTTTCATCACCTTCCTCTCTCTCTGTTTCTTCTCCCTCCAGTATTTTTTTTCCCCTTTCCTTCCCTTTGATCTTCTAAAAAATCAAAGAAGTATATATTCCCTCTCTAGCACCTCCCTTCCCCTTTTCCTCCCATACTTATTAATTATATTATTTTTCATTTATTTGATTACACAACACACCCTCCCCAAAAGGCAGGGGAAAAGTATGGAAAACAAGGCAGGGCAGGGGATTAAATAACTAAATATTATCATAATCATGGTGATAATAATAATAATGGGTTTTGATGGATTTGTTAAAATGGTCGTCGTCTCAAATTGGCTGAGTTATGTTCATCCCGATGGCTCAGTCGGACTACTGGTTCTTGTTTTTGGGGTGGAAGTGGGAAAATTATGGTGGTTGTTCAGGTAGTGGCAATGCAATGAGGCTCCCAGAACAGCAGCGACCTTCTAGGCTCCTTGCAGCCTTTAATCCATGGCACGAAATGATCACCTCCTCGCTTCACCACCAGTTCCCCTTGCCGTCGCTGTTCCAGCAGCTGACCCTTTTCCATGGAAGACGGTGGCGCGATTTTGGTCGCGTCGTTGATGTTGACGTTTTTGGTTGGCGCCGAGTTTTGGGTAATCGGACCGACCAGCTCCGCCGCCGCGGCCGCCACCGCCACCGCTGATGTTGGCATCAGCAGCTTGGAGGATGACTTCCAGTAGCACTCGTAAGGGTTGTTGGTAGCTGCTCCGGCCGTCTTTGTAGCCGCTGATTTCGCCGCCGATCTGGGCGGCCGCGGCGGGAGCGACTGCGTCAGTGGATGGTTGATCGCCTTCGTTACCACCTCTGCTTCTTCTTCTTCATGGTGGGCCACTTGTTTGGGCCAAGTCGGGTTTCTGGAGATGGGCTTGTTCATCATGACTGCCAGCCTGTGTACACTCATCGGCCCACTTGTCAGCTTGGGCGCTTCCTCCTTCACAAATTCCACTTCCTCTTCTTCTTCTTCTTCTTCTTCTTCTTCTTCCATTTCAATTTCATCTTCTTCTTCTTCCTCTGTTTCTAGGGTTTCAGTCGAGTTGTCCAATTCGACCTCGAATTGCTGCTCGTCGGAAGCAATTTCAGCGGATTTCTCTTCTAGATCGGGAACGAAAGTGAGGACGAGGCGGCCGTCCTCTCGCTGAGCGCGGAAATTGTTCTGAGAAGCGAACGAGACGGCTTCGAGGACCAGCCTCCCATTGTCGCGATGCGGCCTCATGAGGAGGCTCCCCGTCGCCGCGCCGCGGGACAAGGAAGAGATCGGCGGAGGAAACGACCTAGGCGGGGACTTCTTCATGACGCCGCAGATCGGTAGATTCCCGGCGTTGAGCTTCGCGATTCGGATATCCTCCTCCTCTATGTCGAATTTCTGCGCCGCCGCCACCACCGGCGGAGGATCCGCTCTGTTCTCTTCCTCCGCTTCCTCCACAGCCGCCGCTTCCACTTCCTCTTCGTTCTCTCCGGACTCGGATCCCGGGTAGGACGAAAACCCGTCGCATCCGGTCTCGGATCCGAGGCTCTCGGTGCAGATCTCGAGGCTCTTCTCGCTCAGACAGCTCTTCGACTGCCTGACGAGAGGGTGGATGTACGGCGGAGGAGGATTGTCGCCGCCGTCGTCTTCTTTCCCCTTCTGAGCCGACATAATCGCGCTCCAGGTATCAAACAGCCCCGCCGCCGCCTGATCCGGATCTCGCGGCTCCGGCTCGTCCGCCGCTAGGCGGAGCTCGTTGGAGGAGGCGATTTTCTTGAGCGTGGCGGCGGAGGAGGAGTTGCGGTTGAGCCAGGTGTTGGAGGACATGTCGGCGGAGAGAGTCCGGCGGAGGGATAATGGCGGCGGAGGAGTAGCCGGGGATGAGCAGCCCGTTGGGAGGAGGGAGATGATCCCTTGCTTTTGTGAGGTCACCATCACCTCTTCGTTGAGGGAGGCGGATAAGCCGCCAAAGCTTCTGCTTAGAGAAGATGACATCGGTGCGGCGGTCAATGTGTTCAAACCCTGCATGATTAAGGAGAGATTAGTATGTGTGCGATAGAGAGTGATAAATGATAATGATTTGATGATGGTGATTAGGCGAGGAGGTGGATGATTAATAGATTTAATTAATTACCTCTTGTGAGAGCCAAAAGCTGACACACGGCAAGCGACAGAGGTCTCTGGGAGACCGCTGGCTGCGGTGCGGCGGGAAGGATTAGTGAAGGGAAGATTGTGATTAAGGGGAAGTAATTAGTGATTAGGCTTTGTTTGTTTTTGTTTGTGAGGAGGGGAGAGAGTTTTTTTTAATGGAGAGGTGGATGGTCAAGTGGACATGGGAAGGAGAGGAGAAGGGGGAAGGCGGGTATTTATAGGAGGGAAAAGGGTGGAAATGGAATTGGGATATGGGAACCGGGGGAATGGAGAAATGGGCCCGCGGGCCCATTTACTACGCCACCATGAAAAGGCCAGCCTTTCATTGGTTTCCACTTCTTCACTCTCCTCCTCCTCCTCCGCCCTTATCATCAACCTCACCATTATTATTCTAGATGGTGTAGTGTAGGAGATAACCTTCCGAATTTCGAGCGCGCAACATGCAAAATGTCACAATGTTTGGTATTCGTAAATTTGATATTTATCCAAGTATGTACTTTTTTTTCTTTCTGGAATAAGTTTGTTCGAATGTCTCATTTATCATGTCTTTGATATTATTTTTTTGTTGTTGTTGTTGTGTGTTTGAAATAAATCCACTTGGTATCATCAAATTTTATTTTATTTAATAATTAGACATTGAAAGATATCCAAAACTTTAAAAATAAATGTTTTGTTTTCGGAAATTAGAGAAAGAATAGAGATGAGACGAGACGAGGGACACTAGTGTTCTTGCTTATCTCGAAATGTCATTTGATGCACATATGCCTTGTTTAGCCTCCCTTTCTTCCAATCACACCAAGAGCTTATCGTTGAAGCAAAATGTTTCTTTGCACTGATTTTTTTATCTACTTATATTCATGAACATAAAATTTACTCAAAACATACATAGTTTAATTTTTACTCTTATTATACGAGATCCTCCAAGTCGACTTTATGCCTCTGCCAGATTCACTAGACGTGGAGCAACCATTCTAATGGAGAAACCCTCTTACCCGCTCTAAGCGATCGGGAGCAAAGACGTGTCAAAGTGAAAGCTTCTATCTTTTTACAGTCTCGTGGACGGACGAAAGAAGGGGGGCATGAAGTTACAGAACGGGACATGCTTGGGCTTGAAAGCAAGAAGAAAGGGATTAAGCAACTTAGGTTAGATTATGCACTCATTGAATTTGATATTTTATAAAGATGAGTACATATTACAAGTAAAGATTGAAGGAAAATACGTAATGATTCGGATTATATATTTAATTTCAAAATTTAGTCAAGAATTATCAAGTATCAACCTAACCAATTCAAAAAACCCAATCCCATCATCAAAAAGTTCCACTTTTGATTAGTTATATATTTTTGGACTCACTTAGCCGGTTAGCCTTATAGTTAGGATATCCCTGTTCTGTAGGCCAATGAGGGGATGTATATATGCATCTGTGTTTGACACTTGACACTAACAAAGGTTAGGCCGGCCCTGTGGGCTGTGGATCAGTGGATGTAACCCTCAAACTTGATCCTTGACCTCGCGACAACAAACCTCAAACTACACTCCCAACTTAATTAATTTGACCTCGACTTTGACCCTAAACCTAACTCCAACCTCGGACCTCTATCCAAACCCTACATCCATCTCAACCTTGAGCCTAACTGCCTAATTACTTTGACTGACATCGTAGCTATATATCTCCCTGCCACCCGCCATCCTAATCCAGTCCTCTCGGGCTACACAGACAACGAACGTACCCTTTTCATTGAATAATCCTATCCCAAATTGGGTGCTCTGGTTCAACCACAAACCCAAGGCATGCTGTAAAACTTAGAACCCTAAGCTCAATCCTGCTTGAAAAGCGACGCAGTAGATGAGGCATTCCAATGTCGAAAACTGTATTTGGGTTCTACCGAGTTGAAAGAGTAGTATAAGATCAATAATAATCTTCAAACAATCCGAGTTGTTGGGACTAATTGATTCTTGACGTGGTATCAGAGTTGGTTTGGTCAATTAGTCGTGCGTTCGAATCTCCATAACCCCAATATTAACAATTGGTTAAAGTACAAGCAACAGCGGATCCAGAATAGGGAAGAGCACTGCGCCACATTTGAAAAGAGGCCGAGAGAGCTGGGCAGTAACCCCAATAAGCACTGAAATGTATACCTAAAATAAAAAATTTACAAGTGGTATACTAGCTCTGGATCTAGGGAGGGCTGGGCTGTGGCCCGGGGGCAGCCCCCCTAGATCCGCCGCTAAGTACAAGTTATGGTGGATCCGTGCAAACTCTAAACCCGTGAGTTGACTTTCGTTTGACGGGACGTGTAAGAGAGTGGGTATAAGATCCATAATAATCTTCTCCCAACAACTCGAGTTATTGAAACTAACTGGTTCTTGACAAAAGCGACGCTTGTGAATTGAGCAATAATTCGTAAATCGTTTACTCTTTCATGGTATCAGAGCCTATGTTCGAATCCCGACGACCCCCCTTTGATAAGCCCATATATGATATTCAGGCCAATGCAAATTTTAAGCCCCATATGAATCTACTTTCGTTTGAAATAGTGTGTTAGTAAATGATATAATATCCATAACTAAAATCTCTTCCAACAACTCGAACAATTGAGATAAATGACTTATTGAAACTAGTTCATAACTTAATATACAACCACATGATCAAATGTAAGCGCAGCACCGCCATATAGCTACACCACACTTTACCTAAATGGGAAAAAACAGAGGATGCTAATTATACTGGAGGGCATGAATTACCAATTAGGTATGGAATTATTGGACACTACACGACAGTGACTGGTAAGGATCGGATAGGGAAGAAAAGATTTTGGGGGGCCAAATTGATAGATGATGAAAATGGCTTAAGGAGGAAGCAAAGCAGAAAAAAGAAAATCACTTTCGAAGAACAAAACATGATTGGGTTGGATCTCTCTCTCTCTCTCTCTCTCTCTCTCTCTCTCTCTCTAAACACTAATATTGTTCACACAATTACGTCCTTATGGCTAAAAGAGAATCCCGACATCCATCAACGTTCTGTCATCATCACTAAATAATAAATATATCCTTCACTCACGAATCACGATCGATCGAGTTTTACTACTACGACTACGTACGTAAAGGAGAGATATAATTAAGGTACAGGCTTAATTAATCCTCTGATTTTAAATACTATTATATCGTAGATTTTTAGTGAGACGACCAGCAAATTCGGTTCCAAGAATCCACCATTAATCAGTACAAACCTAGCTGTTTCTAGGTCTCAGTGGGCAGAGGCATGTTGATGATGGCGATAATCAAATTGAGGGGGGAAAAAATAACGTATATATGTAGATGTTGACGACAACTACTCCACTTGATATGGCTAGCGAATTAATTATAGAATGTTATTAGGGTTTCATCATGTTATTGGAAGGCTTGGAATTTTGTTCACTAGGCCCAGCTTTTCCAAGATGATAGTTACGTTCTAGCATAAACTCTTCGTGGGTTGATGATAGTTGTGGCATATTCTGTTGAATGAATAGTAGAGTTAATATATATATATGCACAACGTAAACAACATCGATTTATCTCGGTCTTGATCGTAAGCAATTTCTGGCCGGGCGGTGTGTTCTTCGTGAACTTCATTCGTCGTCGAGAGGGAAATGAAAGAGGAGTGAATGATCAGTCATCTACGCGTGATTGTTTAGCAGTTGCACGCTCTTATACTTAACATGGAACTTAAGCTAGTGAGCGCATATATTTTCGTCCACCCATATATCTCTTTCTATATTGGTGGGTTAGCGTAGCACCTGATTTGGTTTATGGGTACAAATTAATGAACGATTGTGTGCCGGTTAGGAACAGTTGGAGCCGATGATAGATCGGGCAGGACATTAAATAACATGTTTGATAGATTATCTGAACTTATTTAGTGACAGAAACGATGGAGTTGGTCTAACTAGCCAATTTATGACTAAGTAATGATTCATTTGTCACGTTTAGCCAATTTATGACTAAGTAACGATTCATTTGTCACGTTTTAAAAGTATAATGACCGATGTCCTCCAAACGCCTAAGTTTGCTGACTAGTTGAGCCTTTGTGCCCACATAAACGGCAATATGTGAACAGCAACAAGCACACAAAAGGGAACGGTGTCTCATCATCGATCGATCATCCAATATATATTCAAAGCATGCAAAAATTATATTGCAAGAGAGGAAAAAAGAAAAGAAAAAGAAAGATAAAGGAATTGAAAGAGAGTTGCGAAAACGAACCTCGAAGCTTTGCCACAAACCGAGGAAGGGAAAAGAAAAAGGAAAATAATCGCGAAAACTAAAAGGGAAATGGAAAAGGGATGCCTTTTGTCTGCCTATAAAGCCATATTTAGCAATTATACGCCCAATTTTTCCCTCCCTACCCTAACCTTATTGCCTACGTACAAAGCTCTCATCTATATTACTTTCTAGCTACCCTATTCTTTTTTTTTGTTTCCTTTTATAGTTCTAAAAACATATATTCATTTTTACGTTCCTTTTCAAGAGCAGTGCTCAATCTTTAGAGGCTGAGAATTTATTCATGTACATTGTTCTTATAATGTTTATTCATTAGCGGGTCCTCCAGGAAATCAGTTTATCTCGTTAAATTAAATTTGTGAGAGTTTTAATAGTGAATATAATCGTCACTGCTAGATGTTCCTTTCAACGAAAATCAATATAAACATAGAGTTTGTATAAGTCTGTCATATCATATGTTTAACGTAGTCATTGATATCAGGAGTTTTCATAATTAAAACACGAGACTCTTAGATATTTGATACCATATTAATTAATCAAGGCAGGAGGAAACAAAAGAAAACATTACCAACTATGGGTTTAG